CTTTTCAAATCGATAATGAAGAAAAAAATTTAATTGGTGAAAAGATGATATATACAAATCTTAGCATGCGGTTTCAAACAATATAATAATATAATAATAGGTTGAATGAATTATGATTCAGATTAATGCGAAGAAAATTTTGAACAGATTTCTAAAATCATGATATATACAAATCATGATTTTACTTGGAGATTTATTCAAATTTCCAATTGTTTGGAAATCACGATTTCTAAAATCATGATTTATTTGGATTTCCAAATTGTTTGGAAAAATAGGAGATTTATTCGGATTTTGATTCCTTATTGTTTACCAATATAAAAGTATTTATTTTTAGGGGATAATTAATGAAAGTAGCGGGAAATTGTTTCCAAATTTGATTTATGTTAATCCTTATTATATAGAATTAACATATATGTTAACATATACGTTAACATATATGTTACTTTCACGTAAATACTAATATATATATATATATATATATATATATAAATTATTTCTAAAAATTATTAGAAATATGATTGATTTTTAAAATTAATATTTAATTGACAATTTTTAATTAAATGTCTTATATTGTATTTATTTTTTTTTTTAAAAAATACGTACGTATGGTAAGTATATTTCTTAAATTAAGTGTATTAAGTATGGTAAGTGTATTTCTTAGATTTATTTTGATTTTGATTCTATATTTTTTATTGTATTCCTAAAAAAATCAAATAAAAAAGATATGCTAATAAATAGAGGTTTTGTTAATTTACTATTTTTAGGCAGTAATTAATGAAATTGGCGGGAAAGTATTTCTAAAAATGAATTATGTTAATCCTTATTATATATTAACTAGTATGAGTCCCGTGCAATGCACGGGTAAGAGATATTAACTAATATTTATAAATTAAAAATTCTTATTATAGTATTTATAAATTAAAAATATGGAATCAATTACCTATTATAATTTATTGAAAATGTTATATAAAGTTTAATTGTACAAAATTACATAAAAATATTTATTTAAAATTAATACACAACCCGTGTGGTGCACATAATGATAATAAATCACATTATACTCGCTTCAAAATAAGTATCATTTAAAATTTTTTGTTCATAAACTCGATTGGACTATAATATAATTCCATAAAATAGTTATTTTGGTAAAAAGTTATCATTAATTTAACAACCTATGTGAATATTAGTATTGATATAAATTTTATCATTTCATTAATTAAAATAATCTATTTTTGTATAAACTATTCAAATAAAAAAAATAAGTAGTTGAGTAATATATTAAACTATAAATAATTGGCTATTTCGTTTGCGTCTAATTTAATATTGACCTATAAATTAATTAGTAATTTATTAAACTATAAATAGTTGACTATTTCGTTTACGTCAAAGTTAATATTGACCCGCAAATTATGAACAATTACTTTTTTATTTTTTATTGTAAATAAAAATCTTTTTAGTTTTCTTCAATATATTATATACTAAATTTAAACCATTCAACTAATAAAGGTAATAGATGCAAGTTTTGTCAATATATTGTATTCTAAATTAAAATCATGCAATTAATAAAGGTAATAGCTGCAATATTTGACCAAAATGATTTTGTACATTAATTAGTTGCTATTTTTTTCATAAATATCAAATAGTCGGAAAATCAAATATTTTTTTGTTGATTTTTAGTTGCTATTTCAAATAAATATCATTATTTTTTATATATTAATAGATAGATAATAAAATTTTAATTCATTAATACACCATAAAATAATAATTTTAAAGTGTTTTCATAAATTTTGGATAAAATTACATAAAATTAATTTTTAAAATATTATAAAATATTATTTCTCAATTTAAATATTTTATATTATTTAAAACATTAAATATAAAAGAATATCATAATTAAATATATAGCGTAATTTTGTATTTTGTAAAATTAGAAAATAATACATTTTTACGTAAGTCCTAAATTATTAAGTATATGAATTTAAAATACTTGAAAATTAATAAACGTGAGATACTGACTCTATAAATATAAATATAACAA